AAAGAAAACTAAGGATTACATGTTAGTTTATCAAAAGGTTGAAGATCTTAAGTTGGTAGCTTATACTTGTTCTGACTTTGCCAACTGTTTAGATGATAGGAAATCTACATCAAGATACATTTTTATGTTGGCATATGGTGTAATATTTTGGAAAAATGTTGAGTATACACATGTGAACTTCATCAACTATGCAGGCAAAACTTGTTGCATGCTATGAAGCAGCTACACAAAGCAGTTTGGTTAAAAAATCTCATTAAAGAATTATCAATAGTTGACTTTACTACTAAACCCATATAATGTTAATATGGTAATAATTCAATAATTATGTTCACTAATAACAATAGAGGTATCACAAAGGCTAAGCATATAAAGATAAAGTATTTGATAGTTAAAAAACTTGTCAAAAAAGGTGATAATTTGACAAAGCATATTAAGACTGATTACATGATAGTAGATCCTTTAACCATGGGATTGTACCTTATAAATTTTTTTTAAAAAATTTATAAAAAAAATTTATAACATAGGTATTATGGAGTTCTTTGATGTATTTGGTTAGTGGGAAGATTTGATATTATTTTATTCTTTATGCTTAATTTTGTTTGGAACACATCCTTGATGATGTATTAGGATTTATTATTAATAATGATTATTCAATGATATTCATTCATCAAGTATTTATGCATGTATGTATACATAGATACATAGATACATATGTATATGCATACACACACACGCATATAACATTATGTTGCATTTGTGAATAGATTTAAAGACATATGTCAGTCTTGAGCATAGACTAGGCATAAATTGATAAACTTAAGGGTATTTCTTTGACACAGAAAGTAGATCTTGAGACATATAAGTGATAACTCTATGATATAGAGTTATTTAGGCTTAATTTTTATAGTAATTTAGCTTAGTTCTTATTGTAATGCATAGCAATTAGTAAGTTTTATTTAAATTATTATTATTAGTTAATTTAGGTGAGTCAAAATAATCTTACTCAATTTTATATTTAATTTGATGTTAATGTGATTAAGATAGGTTGCTATTGATTTAGTTATGCTTGTGTAGGTGTTTAATTGAGGAAGAATTTTAACGAAAAAAGAAGAGCAATTTTGAGGTGCAGTATTCCACTGTATATGTTTCAATATTTTGGCCATAACTCTTTCTACAGTGCTCAAAATCAGTCATTCTTAACAATTGGAAAGATAAGAGAAAAAGCTACAACTTTCATGTTTACTACTTTACCTAGTCTAGCCTAAAAGGTGGTCAAAATCTTATCAAAGTTAAAGTACTACAACAGTCCTAGAACAAGTACAACTTTTACTATTTAAATGGTCAAGGCTGCAGCTTTGGAGGAAGTAGGCCGCAACCCATGTAGTCTGATGAGGAAATCCTTATTGGAATTGACTTATTTCTTCACCTAATTTGGCTTAAATTCAAAGCCCTATAAAAACAACCTTTTAAAGGACTTTTAGGAGAGAACAAAATACTAGATTGAGAGAAAAAAATCAAGCCACAAAATCATTAAAGAAAAGTCTAATTAAAGCTAAACAAGAAATTAAACAATTCAAAAAGATTTGGAGATCAAGAATTCAACTCTTGGGTTCGTTTTATCTCTTTGTTATTATTTTATTTTCTTGGTTTTGGTTTTGATGATTAACTTTAATTTGATGATGATGTGTGACTTGATGGGGAACTAAATTGTTTATCTAAGATTATGACTGAACTCAATACGTCGAATGATTTATTTATCCCTATTTTGCTTATGTTTAATGAATTTAAGTTGTTTATTTTATTCTATTCTAAATGCTTCTAATTGTTTGATCACCAATTAAATTGAATTGGAAACCTAGGTTAAACCTTGATTGAGGAAATTTAAGTAGACTTTGAATAAAATAATATATAATCGAATGCACTTAGTTGATTAGGTGATTTGATTTGCATATAGGGTAGACAGACACTTATAAGTCATACGCTGCCAAAATTAGAGCAAAAACTTAATGAATCTGTTTTCAATTTAATTTGCATAGACATATAGTAAATTAATTAAAAAAATTTTTTTATGAGAAACTCGACGGAGGCTTGTAACTAATTTAGGATTCTAGGTTAACAACTTAATCTATTAAACTAAGTTAAGAGAAAGAGACACTAATCAGATAAAATATTGAGGAACATCATAATCCTAGGTCTGGTAATCACTAGAAGTAATAAAATAATTTTACTAATATATTTTACATTAGTTTTAGTTATTAGTTTATTTGTTTTAATTTTAATTTTAATTGTTTGGATAAGATTAGGGTCTTAAAATTTTAGTAGTTAGCAATTAAGAATTAATTCAATTCTCCATGAGAACGAATTTTACTTACTATTATATTACTTATTAACAATATGTGCACTTATGTGAGAAATCAACAACAGTAAGGCAAACATATAGGTTTATTGAGTAAGCCATAAAGTATTACTCTTGCAAGATTGGGCTACATATGGAAAAGAATAAAATGACTGACAAATGAATACAACAAATGAAATAGATTATTAAGAAAGTGTTGTTATTCATTGCTACACTACCACATTGACTTCATGTCGATATGATTGAGTGACATATGTCTTTTATTAAAACGAGCTAAACTTATTTGGACTTGATAATGTGACAATATTACAATCCGTAATATATATATATATATATATATATGATCTAATAAAGTAGGTTAGGTTTTAATATTAAACGTGGGCTTATGTTTGTACACTTGTGTAGGAAATTCTAAATCCTATGATATTGGAATTAAGAATTTAGTATATAAAGTTAAGGTTAGTTTTCTTATCATATATACACAAAAACATTAAGAACCTCAGTCAGAGTTAGAGGTCAATGCAGAAGAAGATCTTAAAAATTAATCTTGTTAGTATTATTGTTGTTGTCAAATCATTGATTAGAAATTAGATACGGGTTTTAAGGTATGAAGTATCAATGAATGTGTTTCAAAGTATTCATCACATAACAAAAACCCTTATTAATCTCAAAGATTGTTTACATCCATTTCCATCATTAATACAATCTAAATAAAATGATCAACTTGTTGGTTATGGTCAAATGCCTTGTCTAAAAAGTTTAGCAAAAGTTGTCCATATGCTTTTGGTTGATAGACTTTTCCTTTGACAATTTCCACCTTATTAGCCATCTCTCTTGCCATGAAAACAGCCTTGGTGATTTGTCTCACAAGATGCTTCACTTGGACTTGTTTCTTAAAAATTTCATGTCGCCACTCTTTACTTGTATTCCTTATTCTTGCGTATGCTTTTAGCGAATGACATTCTTTCTTGACTAAGTCATATTCCTTGTTGGATGTGTAGCTTATGCCTTAAAACATGAAAACATGACTAGAAGATTGGAGAGCATCCTTCTGTTTGTATATTACTTGATATTTTGCTTGCAACTATCTATTTTCTTTTTGTAGCATATTAAGCTCAACAATCACTAATTCAAAGGTACTTCCTAGTCCCTCAAACATGTCTTTCCGTGCATCTTTCTCCATATGCAATTTTTCTTTTATCTTTGCTAGCCTCACCTATCAATCTTTTCATTTTTCTTGAGTGTTCATTCTCTTATTTTAATCTATTCCCCTTGATCTCAAGTTATAAGTTGGTGATAAGGACATTTTGAAATTTTGAACTGGATGAACAAATAGAATCAGATTGGAGAGGCAACATGATGTTTTTGATTGCCATAAACGATGGAAAAGAAGCAAGTAACACGCTTGTTTAAAAGAAAGCCGTTTGGTTTTCATGAAGGAAACATCCAACCCCCTTTTTCGTTCAGCAGCTTGTTTCTTTTCTTCTCCGACACGACGTCGTTTTATACAAGGTTAAAAGCTCTCTTTTTTAAACAAACCGCAGCCGATATCTTCATCCTCCTCCCTCTACACGTCGCCGCCTCTCTCTTCCCTCTTCCTCTTCTCTAATATCTCTTTTCCGACGGCCCTTATCTGGTCACCCTCCTTGCTGCCGAAGGTACCAAATGACACTCACAACTCCCTTCTCCGTAACACCAACCCACAAAAGGACTCCAAAATATAGATTGGAACCTCACCCAAAATTTCCAAAACTCATAAGCCGAAACCCACTCTCAAACTGAGAACCCCAAAGAAAATCATATTTTTTTATTTCTAGGCTTGAGAATGGTTGTGTTTGCTCAAGTTTCTTATTTCTTTCTTTCTCTATCGAATGAATCCCTTTTTGTGTTTGTGTGTTCTATGCTTCTATAGATCGTTTTTTAAGACCTTTAATTTAATTACAAATCCCTTTAGATTAGCTTGATTCGATTTGATTTGATTTTATTCGATCTTATTCTTGAGTGATTTTCGTGGTTGTGGAGAAAATTTGGAGAGGGCACGTTTTTCTGGAAATTCGGCTGTAGGAGACTTCCTCCCCTTTATTTTTTTGGATTTGTTTTGTGTTGTTTGATCTGATTGTGCATTGTTTCCTTATATTTTTTGTTGTTTGTGGGCTTAGTAGCCCAAACCCCAGGCTGTTTTCATGGACCTTCTGACCCTGGTCATTGTCCTATTAGTTGTTAGGAACAAAATAAGGCCTAATGATAAAGAGCAAAATAAATAAAGAAGAAATTAAAATAAAATAAAATTAATGAGTAAGTCCCGAACAATATGGTGTGTACATGATAATTCATTTGCAAAAATGTCATTTACAAGCCGCCTACGTTATTTTCATCCATTAACAGGAGATCAATTATGGGATATCAGAAATTAAGCGCAACTGTTTTGACCCAGTAAAACAAAGTGATCCAGTAGGTAAGGCCGTGGTGGGTATAGAATTCATGCGCGGGCAAATGGATTTTCTTGACCGGCATTTCGAGGATTAAATTTGTTTAACAGATTGTCTTGACGTGCAAACTTCCCTGAATTCAACTCTACTGATGCCAACCGGTTCCCAAAGTTCTGGTTATAAATACTTGGTCTGAACCAAAGCTCCTCACTAAGATATTCTTCATTGCCAATTACTGTTTTCTTTCTCAATTCTCTAGGATTTAACAAAATGTTTCTCCCTAAGACCACCGAGCTCATTCTAATGCTGCTTCTTGTTGCAGTTCTTCTGCTTGTTTCCTCAGAGGTGGCTACTGCTTTGCTGGATAATGCAGCATATCAACTTAAACTTGGTTTGTCAGAAACTGCCATTTTCTATAAGTTTTCTTTTGCCTTTAGCCATACTTCTTATTTTGCTGGTCCCAAAATAATGGGACACTTACTTGCTTGTGATCAATTTCATATTCTAAAATCTCTATGCCTCAGTATTCTTGCAAAGTTATTCATTGCAACTTCAATTAGAGGTTGTATAATTGTCTTTTCTCTCTTCTTGGATAAGTGAGGTTGTATAATTGTCAAAGAAACCACTTGACTTAGAAGGATCAATAAAAAAGGAGTTCTAGTCTTTGACAACAAACAGATTTTTATAGACTTGGCCACAGATTCTCATGTGAGATGAAGGTTGGACCTTGTTTCATCATTGCTTCTGCTCTCTCAATGACCATGTAAAAAAAAATAATAATTGGGTGATGATTTTATCTTGTGCAGCTTTTGCTTTCTTTCAAATGGAAACAGAAAAGGCAACCATATATATTTATATAGTAGGTGTTTACTAATTTTGATCAGCATCATTTTCTTTCGCAGGACGAAGGGCTCTTCTATCTACCTACAATACAACTGGCAGAGGAGGGTACAACTAAGTGCTAGTTATCTTATGGATGCATTAAATTAAATAAGTAAATAAGATAGATGAATAAAAGGAATATCTAGCATGTATGTAGGCTACGGGTTGGAACTATACTATTCTCCCTCTTGTAAATGCTTGCAATCAGAGCCATGGGCGGCGGATGCATGTGCTTGCGTTTCAGGTCTACGTAAATGCCATGCTAGAGATAGAAAGATATGGTATCGAGAATATGCTCTTATTGTATGATCAATATGCTAAATAAAGGTATTCATTCTTGATCTTTGATTGACTGCCAACTTCTCTTGTTTGCATCTCTATCACTTCAGCGCCTAGTAAAACTAGTAATGAAGGTTGGCTGAAGGTCTGAAACCATGTGTTGTTGCCATCAACATACAATGACTTTTAATTACCAGCTTGGATCAAAGTATTACCGAATTAAATAAATTAATTAAAAGACAGAGATGACAATTGTTAGACATAAAATCCCATATGATAGTGGAAAATTCTTGAGACATTTTAAACAAAGTTTCCCAGGGATGGAGTTACCTATATTTCAGTGGGATCAGTTACCTTAACTTTGAAATTCTAGATTTGAATAATAACTTAAAAATAATGATCAAGGATTCATTTTATTTATTTTATTTTTTGATATACAAATAAGACTCAATAATTGAGTATGCATGGCTTCAGAGTTAGGTTTAGAGCTCAAAATGACATCAGATTATCAAAGAGTCGTCAGGCAAAAAGAGGATATAGAGGCCATATCGTGAATTAATTGGTTGAGTATGAAATTCCATGTGGGGAAAGGAAAGTCTGAAAGTAGGCATCCTATCCGATTTCTGTATTGAAGGAAGACTTTGAAAAAGCTGATCCATGAAAGGTCACCGTTGGTCAATTGACTTGGTTTCTGCGGTTAGTCGCCTATCAATGGCTTGTACAAGTTTAACATATTCTAAAATGAACATTGAAACCTGGCAACGGCATAAAGTAAAACCGTATCTAAATATCTCATCTTTCCAACGGCAATGTGATTCACTTCATCAGATAATTAGCTCCACAGAGTGTGAGCTAGAAACTCATCCTTCGGATGAAATACTCGTTGGTGAATGTGGAAAGGATCAAACAAATCTAATGGCATGGTTTATTCTTTTATTGACCCTTCTAATTAATTAAATTAAAACCAACAATTTAGATCCACGGCACCAGTGAGGATTAATGTTTCAGGTTGTACTTGGGGAGTGATTGACCCATTCCATTTACAAAGTACAAATAATATCAACTTGCTAAATAATTTAGGTTTGTTGTAATCATTCCCATTAGAGTAGGTAAATTACTTAATCCGTCTCTACACCTGGTTGGTTCATTTGAGCAGGTGTCATTTCTCACTTCAACTCTCCAATTGTGCATTTTTTATTTGCCACCAATCATTTCTAAACTGAGTAAAAATTCATTCAAACAATGAATCCAAATTTGAATTTCAGAAAGAAGTTGCTCAACTGTGTGACTGTCTAAAACTGTGCAGTAAAGAGCTAGAGTGGATGCAAATGGACGTTAAGCACCTTGCCCATCGCAATCGAATATTTAAAATGTTGTGCCGGATAAAATGAAATGCTTATTATATATATATATATATATATATACACAATCATGAACAAGAAATCAGAGAAACAGAATTGACCGGCATCAATTAAAGTAAATATGGCTTGGTTTTGCTTGCAAAATCATCAAATTATATTATTTTTCCTAAGAAATGTATATTGTTTCTTGTTTTCACTGTCGTGAATGGGTCATATTTCACTATAAAGACTTTGCTCGAATCAAAAAGATCCACACCATATACAGTAATTTGTCTGGATATAGTTCTGTAAGTGATTCCTAGCTATGTCCATCCATTAATTTCTCCGAAATTAGCATGGCAAGAAATACCCTGTCTGCATTCACCCAAGTCATGGTAATGGGCTAATGGCTGTTTTCATTGCAATCTTGTTCCTCATGTCCTCTGACCTGGCCACGGCCATTCTCCCTGATCCAACACCAGAGGTTCAATTCGGTTCGTTCAGAACCATATTTATTTGAAATAATTCGTTTTTTTTATGTTGTTAGTAACGAATTTTAACGACCAAACTTTTATTAATTTTCTAGACTTCCAAACACTTTGCAAGCAGTTTGTAAAATTATGATATGATCAACTTTTGACAAAGGGGCTAACCGATTGCATCAATCACAGAGATCATAACTGCAAAGTGTTTTTATATATAGATTACATGATCCTTACATCATTTTACATTGCAGGACGCAGGTCTCTCCTTGGGGACTACAACACTACTGGCCGCGGCGCATACAATTAGAAAAGCCTAGGAATCCTGGTCTACATGTAGCGTATAGTGATGGGAATTAAATAAAAGTTGAAGGGTGTGCACTGCAAATTACAGACTGTTCCATGTTAGTTTTGATGCCTGGACTAAGATATCCCTTCATTCCGGGATAATTAGAACTGGGCAGAGATGTTATATTATATAGGATGTTGTAAGTGTGGATTGTTATATGGTATGTTTATGTTTGTGAGTGAGAATTGCATTGTAATAAAGTGAGTTGACTGCGAGTCTATTGACTGTGATAGAATCAGCAGTTGATCCATCAATTTGAATCTTTACCGCATTTTGTTGCAAATAAGTAATAATTTAGTCAGTGAAGATTGTTTTTTGAATGGAACAATAACACAAAAGGGTTAATTTTGAATTTCTGTAATTTGAAAAACATGTACATAACCCACATCATTGTGTTAAATTTATGCGTGAGCAAATGTTCAATGAAATTTGGCAAGACTTGCATAACATATATTGATAGCAATTCTAATCCCTAGTTTGAAGGAGATAAACTACTCTGAGCTCAAGGTAACTGTCAAAACCAAATCTACTTCAGATTTCGTATATTCTGTAATGTAATAATGTATGTAAAGTATATACTTTGGAAGAGCAATGTGCAACATCTTATGCTTGTCGACAAAGCCGGTGGTAAATTTTGTCATTGTAAATTCGGATTTCTCCTACTTTTTCTGATATGCCAGAAGCAATAGTCAGTGAAGATTGGTTTGAAGATTTTTCATTACTTATCGTAAATTCATCATTTTCTTTCCTTGCAACCTAAATTACTTGTGGTATACTCACCACAGTTGAGCTTGGCATACTTACTGGTGTATGATTGTCAGGTCTTTTATCTGTCTTTGAACTCTTCAACTGTTTTTTGAAATCAATATATAACTCTTCCCATGCTAGTAATACTGGCCTTTTTGTAGAAATAGTGAACTTTACTTTGGAAATTTAACTTCAGAAGAATGATGGGAAGCAACAGAAAGTTAAACAGGTTGAAGAAGAGTTTAGGGTTGTTAAAACGGTGCCATATAGGTCTTTATTTTTTGAGTTTATAAAACAGGAGTCTTATGTGTCGTTTTTTTTCAATTTTAGTTGTAGAAGCATATGACAACTGGTGGTGTCAATTGCTCAGCGGTTTTTTTTTTTTTTCTTTCCTTCAAACGCTCAACTTGAGCCTTGTTTTGGTCCTTATCTGTATAGGCCAATGACCTTCTTTCTCTTTCATTTTGAGTAGACGTTATTGCACAGAAAACCGTGTCTCGTTTTCTGTACATTACTGTTCAACTTTGTTTCTTTTATTCTCCCTAGGCTAAATCTTTGAAAAGCTGTTTATGATGAATATATAACCTTCTTTTATAACCATTGTATAAGTGGAATTTTTTGATCAATATAGAGAATTGTTTTCTTCCCCCAAAACTCTATTCTCTTCTTTTTCTTCATTCTGCTCTGCTGTTTTTATATAGTGCTCTTCAAGAAAACTTTCATGGTATCATAGCTAACTATCTAAAGGGGCTTGTAAATCCTTTTGTGTTCAAAGCTTTCTTCAATTAGTATGGCCATAGCTGGTTTTAGTGCAAGTACCCCCTATTTTTACTGGTGTCAACTGCCTTTTCTAGACAGTAAAAATGAGTTCATACCTTAAGGCGTTTGATTTGTGGGAGGTCAAGATGGAAGATATACCATTTAGATGTAAAGTATATTTTTCTAAATGGTTATTCGATAGAGGACATTTTTGTTGAACAATTTTCTTGGTACGAAGAACCGAGGTCAGAGAATAAAGTCTGTAAATTGGTTAAGGCACTGTATGGTCATAAGTAGGTACGCACTTAGGGCCTGGTATGACAGGGTAAATGTTTATTTCATTAGTTAGGGCTTTTTGAAAAGTGTGAATGAATCAACTTTACATGTGAAATTGTTAGTTAATAAGGCTGCATTGATTGTTGCTTTGTATGTTAATGATTTTTTAATTACTAGACCAGATGTAATGTATTGCAAGAATTCAAAAGTTATATAATTAATGTGTTTGAGATGATAGACTTGGGATTGATGACTTATTTTCTAGGAACAGAAGTTCTTCAAAGCAGTGAGGGAGTTTGTTTGCATTAAACTAAGTATGCAAAGAATCTATTAAAGAAATTTAATATGTTCTCCTACAGGGTTGTGAGTACTCCACTGGCATTAGGAGACAAGTTTAGCAAAGATGATGGTTCTACTGAAGCAAATGCTCTCACTTATAGAAGTATGATAAGTTCACTACTCTATCTAATAGTTAGAAGACTTGATTTGATGTATGCTACATACCTACAGTCTAGATTTATGCAAGCACCCTCTATGCAGCACTTTACAATGGCAAAGAGAATCCTCAGGAATGTTGAAGGTACTACTGATTTTGGTTTAAAATACATGAAGCATGATAATAAAGATCTTGTTGGATATAGTGACAATGACTAGGCTAGGTCACTTGATGATTTAAAAAGTATTGCTGGTTTTTGTTTTTCATTCAACAGTGATGTGTTCTCATGGAATTTGAAAAAGAAAAGTGTTGTGGCTCAATCTACTATAGAAGCTTAGCATATAACTACAGTAGTGGTAGCAAATTAAGTGAAATGGTTAAAAAAGGTTCTAGCTGATATGGGATTTAAATAAGATAGGGTACTATGATTTATGTTGATAACCAATCAGCTATTGCAATAGCCAAAAATCTAGTTCATCATGGGTAAACTAAGCATATTAAAGTGAAATATTCTAAGAGAGGTTGTCAATGAGTAAGAAATCGAACTCAGGTAGCATAACACTGAGGTTCAACTAGCTTATACATTAACAAAAGCCTTATCTAAAGAAAGATTTGAAACTCTCAAGACTTGTCTTGGTGTCTACCAGATCATAGGTCATGGGGGAATGTTGAA